AAAAGTACAATGATCTTTTCGCTGTACAGGGCAACCCGTGCCGAACATTCAGGCCGATAAATTTTAGCTTGCGCAAGCGTACCAGCCCCTGTGCAACCTGCACTAACCACAAGCCAAATTGACCGAGTCTGGATATGTTGGCTTGTGCGAGCAAACTAACTCCCGATATGGACACCTGAAGGAATAATGAAAGAAAGCTATCAATAGACAATGCAACTGCAATCAACATTTTCAAAGACTACACGAAATTAGGAAGGTGGATTTTTGATAAATAAAAACGGACGTGCAATTAAGCATAAGCTCAAATACGAAATTACGAAGGATACGAAGATAGATTTTCGATACATGCAAAAAGACAACGTACCGCATCTCAAAACAAGCTATAAAATAAAAAAAAAAAACCTACCTAAGCAACTGAAAGTTGGAAAAATAAAAATGAAGTATCTTAAAACCGACAAATGGTACACAAATGCGAAGCGGCCAACTCGAGGTAGTTGCACAAGCCAACTAGCACCCAATCTTCTCATCTAGAGGATCCAAACTAGTCCCCCGTCATCTTGTCTTCATTTAAATATGTGTAAGAAATAAATATGCTTAAGTAACACAAATTATTAAATCATTTAAATTGAAAGATTTTTGGTAGTTTAGAAATCCAAGTGAGAATTTTTTTTATTTATTCTATTTATTGAATTTTCCAACTTTGCAGTTGATATTCGAAGGAATACGTGGATACAGTTACACTGGTGATATTGCTGTTGACAATGTGGTGCTGAAAGAATGTGGCGGCGGGGCAGGAGGAGGAGGAGGAGGAGGATGTGGTAAGTTAAAGCAAGTTCCATAATAAGTCTAGATTCTAACACATACAAGTCAAATCATCCACAGTACTCAATTGAAATCTCAACTCCAAAAGAGGTTGCTAAGGCAATATATAAACTCATAGATTTAATAAAAGACAGCAGGCATCTCTCGCACCTTGAACAACATTATCGATTATCATTAAATGATCCACTTTGTAACTTCTTTCAGCCTTTGAGTGCAATTTCGACAAATCGATGTGCAGGTTTGTTCAAGACAAAAATGACGTATTTGACTGGACGCGAATAAAAGGGAGAACTCCGTCGTTGGGTACAGGCCCTTCCGCTGACCACACCGGAAATGGTATGATGAGAGCTTTCATTTGCTTCAGTTTCCGTCTCCTCTGTTACTATCATTTAGTATTTGATCCGGGGGTACTCCCTTATATGGGTAATAACGGTATGTGAGGCCCCAAAGGGTATGGTTTTTTAGCCGTTTTGGTCATAAACAGGGTATCTATTTTGGCCATTTTTGTCATAAATAGGGTATGGTTTTTGCACTCTACTCTTGAAAAGGAAGCTTTTTGTCATCATTCTCGATAAGACCATCAACAAAAGCCTTTGACAAATTATGTTCACGGCAATTTAACATTGGTCTTACCTAGGGAACCAATCATAAGGCAGGTCTGAAACAGGGTCTATTGATTTAAGGGTCTGTTCATAAATAGGGTAGACCGATTAGTCTTGTAAAACCTAAAAAGTAAAACATCTACAGACATGCCACAGACATCCTCCATGCCTCAGTCTGTTTTTGGAGGCCAAATTAATACTGCTCTCACAGTGGTAGAGACAATGACAAACAATTAAAATTTTCCCCTGATCTGTCTGTCGTTGCAGGATCATACATGTACATAGAAGCAACGTACGCTAGCCAAGGTGACAATGCAAAACTAAACAGCCCCAAGCTGCAATTTGGTGGAAACATGTGTCTTATGTTCTATTATCATATGTATGGTGCAGACATTGCGACGCTAAATGTGATGATTAATGGAAACAAAGTTTTCACCGCAAGTGGGGATAAGGGCAACATGTGGCTGAGAGCAGCTGTAGATGTGCATGTATCGGGAATGTACGCGGTATGAAACATGTATGGCTAGACTGAAAGTGCAAACATGCCTTAATAACTTAATTTCAATGACGGAAATGTAAGATATTTAAATTAAATACGATGCGAGTGGGTCAGAGAAGACTGCACTGGATTATCAAAGAAAAAATGAACCAAATCTAGCATTACTTGTTTGCTCAGGGCTCTTGGGCTCCTAGAATAATGTTGACCTGAAATGATTGTGCACGGCCACATTTAAGGTAGAAATTTAACTGGTAATTGAGAAGAAGTTTTAACAAAGGCAATAAGGGTGGGATATGCATGCGGCGACCATGCATACAACCTGGCTGATGTCGAATTTCGTGGGATAGTGCTTTTCGGTGAGGTAGGGTTCCACTAAGTTCATTTGTTTTCAGAAGTTGTCCTGCCCATAATAATTCAAACATTCAACCGCATGGCCAGTACCATGCTTTAAAAACGCAGCGTATCGGATCTGAAAAGACCTACGGT